GAAAATTACAGGTCTCTCTCATCTTTTTAAGTGGGAGAACTTGCACAATCGGTGGCTGACTAAATACTTTTTTTCCCCACTGTAAATCGCCAAGGCGGCGTGTGCTCCTGAGCCCTTTTCAAGCAGGCTGCGAGTCTTCTATTATGGACAGATCGTCATCTACTCTCCATCAGAGCGGCTCATATCCTCGGTCTCCTAAACAACAGAGTTGACATGCTTTCGAGGAACGGAATTCCTCACGGGGAGGCTGCATCCTAGTTTCGTTCGGATGATTTGGGACCACTTCGGGAGGGAGGAGGAGGATCTTTGCAACGAGCGAGAACACGCACTGCCCACTGTTCTTTTCACTGTCTTACTGTCTCAAGCGAATGACTCGATATGGCACCCCAGCCCGGAGCTGTGAAGCCTTCATGTGTGGCTACTTCAGGGGTCCTAGAGGTGCCCTGCCTCCCCATGTGCTTGACACGCTCACTGATTCTCATGTACCTTCTGCTAGGCGTCTGTACACTCTTAAATGGAGAGTGTTTGTGAAATGGTGCTGTGATAGAGATATCGACCCGGCAAGCTGTCCTGTGTCGGACGTTTTACATTTTCTGCAGAACAGGCTAGATAACTGGAGTCTACCGTCAACACTAAAGGTTTATGTGGGTGGCCGCTATTGCTTCGTTTCGTTTCGTTCCCCAGTTGACAGGCAATCGATCGGGAGGCACGCACTGGTGGTCAGATTTCTCAGGGAAGTGAGGAGATTACATCCCCCATGCCCACCGTCAATGCCGCCGTGGGACCTAGCGCTGGTTATGAAAGCTCTCTCTCTACCCCGTTCGAGCCCTTAGTATTTATTGCTATGAGGGAGGGAGCTCTCCCTCAAAACTGCTCTGCTTCTTGCCCTTTCCTAAGTGCATAGGAGATATGCATGCGCTCTCGGTGGATGGCGATTGTATTTGCTTTGGGCCTGGGGGGGACCATTACGCTTCGGCCGAGACCGGGCTACGTGCCTTAGTCTCTTTATACCCCCTTTAAAGTGTGGGTCATTCCTTTGCCTGCTTTGTCTCCCGAGCTGCCAACCTCGCATGATGCCGAGACTCAGACCGCCGTTTACTGTCGTAACCTCGGTTCACTGAGAGTGGGAATGAGCCATTGCGAAGGTCGCCGTGATCGCTGCTCGATCAGTAGTGCAACCATTCAGTCTTAGATTCTGAAGCAATTGTCACTCTCACCGCATTATATACTGCCCGCAGGCTAGTCAGTATTTGCATGTGATTTGCATAATTAGTGACGATTAGCCAGTTTATTGTACTGACATTATCCAATAAGGTTTCAGGATTTTCGGAAAAGGGGAGGAGTTACTACTGCGAATGCTTCGCGATGTCTCGTTCCTGCTCTCAGGGAACTGAGGTTACAATAGTAACCGGAAACTTTTTTTATATATGTCTATTTAGTTACACCCTGAATGGTTTATTTCAGTTTTATTTTTAGTTATTTTAGTACATCAAGTTAAGCTAAAGTAATAAGAAATGTTAGCCTGGCAACCAGCGGAAATAAAAGTTTCACATTTTTATAAAACTTTATAAAACTATAAGTTTTATATAGGTTCTATGTTTCATTTTGTTTCAGTTATCATTTATTTTAAGTAACCTTTTTATGGCTTTAGTTTTAGTTAAATATAGACTGAAGAACAACAGGGAATAAGACTGAGGTAATGACACTGTAAAGTCTTATGTCTTTAAAAGTTTTTATTTTAATTTATTTTATATTTTATCATTCATTATTTTTAAAATGATATTTTATTGTAATTTATTTTATTTTATATTTTATCATTCATTGTACACTCTTAAAAATAAAGGTGCTTCACGATGCCATAGAATAACCTTTTTGTCTAAATGGTTCCATAAAGAACCTTTAACATCTGAAGAACCTTTCTGTTTGACAAAAGGTTCTTTGTGGTGAAAGAAGGTTCTTCAGATTATAAAAAGATAAGCAAGAGATGGTTCTTTAAAGAACCTTTGACTGAATGGTTCTTTGTGGAACCAAAAATGGTTCTTCTATGGCATCGCTTGAAGAACCTTTTGAAGCACCTTTATTTTTAAGAGAGTAGTCTAATGGTATTATGTGGATACATGAACCATTTAATTAATAATATAATCATAATATTGGATATTATGTTAACATTAATATATGTCAATAATTTTATTTCCATTTCCATTTATAGATTTTTTTTATTTTTATTAACTTGATAAAGCAGCATTAACTCCAGTGAAACACAAGATGAGCAACTCACTGTGGACGATGCTCCTTATCCAGTCTGTTCGTGATGGATCAGCTCCTAATAATCCATGTTTTGTACTCTGCTAAAACCAGGAGAGATGATGCCATGACCTTCCAGAAAGATTCCTCATGAAAACTGAACACTGTCTGATGTCTTCAGCAGAAGTGACTGTGAACACAGGAGGTCATCTAAACTCTAGTAGCCCTGCATTTCTCATTAGTCCATCTCTGATTCTCTTCATGCTGACTAGCATTGCACAAACTCACACAATAATCTGATTGTTACACAAACTAATGGGCTGTCAATTCAGTTTATTCCACCCAGTGCACACAATCTCTTCTTTTTCTGAGTCTTCTTTTTTGTTGTACATGTTAATTAGCACTGCAGTAAAAGTACAGTTCAGTCAGTGTTCTTGTGTGTTCGTCTGTGAAGTGAATAAACTAGTAAAAGTGCACAACGTGAAGCATATAAAACGTTAAATAAATGAGATACTAAAAACACAGAGAAGTAAAAGACGGGTGATTACTCAAAAAGAGAAAGTGTGCTCAACTAAGGACACTAATATCACTACACACATTTTCTGTGTTTTTATTAAAATATATAGATTTTCTAATTGTTCTGAATGACATAATTGATAAAACTTAAAGGGGTCATATGATGCTTTTTTAAATATCATTATTTTGTGTATTTGAAACACACACACCTTCTCACACACTGGTGTACGGCTCAGCCGTGTATGCTATTATCTGCTTCAGTGCCTTCAGAGTCTTATATAACAAGGTCAGGAAGTGTAAATGATATAGACAGTGAACCTGTACAAGGAAATGTCATTCTGCAGAATATGCTACAAGAATATTTATGAGAAGAATCCCATGTAAAGTGATCTGTGATCATGTGTTGTTATAATTCAATTCAAGTTTATTTGTACAGCGCTTTTCACGATACAAATCGTTGCAAAGCAACTTTACAGCAAATTAAGTTTCTACAATATTTAGTGGTAGCTTATCAGTGGTGACTGTCAGTTAAATGCATCTACTTTCGGAAGGCCAAATAAAGTGCTTTTGCTTTCGCCTAGAAACACACAGCGTCTCTCTGACATGCCGCTTCAACACTAACTGCGGTTACTGAAACCACGCCTTCTTTAAGCAAATATTTCCACATATTGATGTAGATATGTGGGGGCATGTTAGAACGAGCCGTTTAACGGAGGGCGTGGCATATCCTTAACTTTGATAAAGAATATCTCTTTGGTTTTGAGAATTTAGTCTTTGCAACTTCAGGGATCTTATCTATGCACAATCAGCTTGTAACACTCCAAAGAGAAAGGAAAACTTGAAATCGCATCATATGACCCCTTTAAGACTATTAAATATTTGCCCGAGTTAAAGCAGAAACCCTGTGCTTCAACACTAACTGCGGTTACTGAAACCAAACCTTCTTTCTTTGTGTGAACATTTGGGTGCATTATGCAAATAGTGCAAATATTATGCACATAGTGACGTAGATATGTGGGGGCGTGTTAGAACGAGACGTTTTAGGGGGGCGTGGCAGAGTCTTAACTTTGATAAAGAATATCTCTTTGGATTTGAGACTTTAGTCTTTGCAACTTCAGGGATCTTATCTATGCACAATCAGCTTGTAACACTCCAAAGAGAAAGGAAAACTTGAAAACGCACCCTTTAAATAGCGTTCACTTTCAAACACGTGCAGATCTCACCGTTGTAAACAAAGAAACGGGCCTCCTTTTTCAGATTGACAATTAAGCCATACCTCCTCCATTTAACTTCTTTTTGAAGCGCTATTCTCTTCCTGTAAGCAAAGCTCACTGATGTTTTTAAATTTGACTTGGAAACAACAAAATTTTGACGCTCATGAGCAGTAAAATCTTGCGATTGTGCGCGTACGTGATCCTCGAGTGGTTGCCAGACTGCAACGGTAATGTTATGAAATAGAAAAAATGTCATAGTTGCCCATAAAGTGTATGATTCATACTATTACAAAACAATGTATTCATATACTGAATCACAACCATGGTAATGGCTCTGAGGTATTTCTTTGTGACTTTCACACGAGTGCTATGGCCCAATATCAGTCCCAATCAACGCATAAATCTGCATTTTAATATAATCTCCTATTTATTACAAACCCTGATTTATGTGGTTTTATTTAAGTCAGTTTTATGTTCCTTTAATGCTTTTTTAAGTTCTAGGCCACAAAAGTATCCCATATTTGTGGAATGTGGCTTTTACCAAAAAGCTTTGTTTAAATAATTGGCACACAGACACATTTCTTTGTAAGAGTCTCTAATGTGAGGTGTATGCAAACTCATGAATATATGACAATTATAAATGACTAAATTACACTAACTAGCCTGTGATTCCTCTGCAAAAATTGTTTATCTAACTCTACTGATTTACTTATTTATTTATGGGTGAGAGAACAGAAAACTAACTGACCGCCAAATCAGAAATAAACCTTTTCACAGCCGTGATTTCATTTACAATTGTTAATGAAGATTCATTAATGCTGATAATTACAGTAACCAGAAATAGAAACACAATGGAGATGATAAAACCATGGCATGCACAGAAAGGAACTGTAGATTATAACTATTATCTCTAAGTGCATGTTTCAGTGCAAATGGCAGTGAGGCCTTATGAAACACACACACCTTCTCACACACTGGTGTACGGCTCAGCCGTGTATGCTATTATCTGCTTCAGTGCCTTCAGAGTCTTATATAACAAGGTCAGGAAGTGTAAATGATATAGACAGTGAACCTGTACAAGGAAATATCATTCTGCAGAATATGCTACAAGAATATTTATGAGAAGAATCCCATGTAAAGTGATCTGTGATCATGTGTTGTTATCGCTCTGTACACCAGAAGGGTGAGCTTTTAAGTACAACACAGTGTTCAGACAGAAGAAAGTACTGGATCAAGAGAGCACAGGAGAACATCTTTATAAGAGGGAGCTTTTGAACAGTGAACTAGAGCAAAAAACACATGGCCAAGCCTGGTCAAGAGCTTTCCAGGTTCACAAACCAGTGATCACTGGTGCAAATAAGAGTATCTAAGATAAAGAAATAAAATGAAAAAAAAACAAACAGTATGTTAAATTCGTAGCTGTATGTAATCTTTGTATCCATGTTGGTTTAATATGGTTTTAAAAATCTACAATCTTCAAAGAAAAGTTATTATGTGGCTTGTCATGTGGCATAACCAAGTAAAAAATTTCCTTACACTTTGAATACATGTGATCTTAAATATTTTCAAAAGTACAAAATATAATTTTCAGGGTAAAAATGTTTTTACATTTATCATTAAAAGGATAGTTCACCCAAAAATGAAAATTCTGTCATTAATTACTCTCTTAAGACCTCATCTTCAGAACACAAATTAAGATATTTCTGATTATATTTTTGCCTTGAACAGTAGATCTTAATTTTTAAATATCTTAATTTGTGTTCCGAAGATGAACTTCATGGGTTTTGAACGACATGAGGGTGAGTAATTAATGACAGAATTTTCAGTTTTGGGTGAACTATCCCTTTAATTATTGATACGGTTTTCTTTCTTTCTTTTTTTAAAATTATTATTATTTATTTATTTTACAGTATAATATCAAGAAATCACTCTGACATTTGTGGCTTCATCCCCTCAGAATGTCAAGATTTAAATTCAGAAATATGAAATATGTATTGAAGTCCATTCCATATGCTTTGGTAAATTCTAATTATGATATAAAAGGTCATAGGTCATAATTATGATGAAAAAGTCAAAGTTATGACATAAGCCAACATTATGAGATAAAAAGTAGGTTATGACACAAGTCAACATGGCACATCTCATTTTAAATATTTGGGTTGAACTGTTCCGGAACAGTGTTGTAAATACAACTTAACCACTGATTTCTAGTCGTGTCCTCTTTTGGAAGACCAAACAAAGTAGTTTCGCTTTCACAACGAAGCACACAGCGTCTTCACGACATGGCGGCGGCAGCAACAATACTACAGCGAGAATAAAAGTTACGCCTTCTTTCTTTGCGTGAACATTTGAGCGGCGTTATGCAAATCTTCCCACATCGTGACGTAGACATGTGGGGGCGTGTTAGAACGAGCCGTTTTAGGTAGGTGTGGTTGACTCTTAACTTTTATAAAGAATATCTCTTTGGATTTGAGACTTTAGTCTTTGCAACTTTACAGATATTCTTTATGCACCAAGAGCTTGTAACACTCCAAAGAGAAAGGAACAATTGAAATCGCATCATATGACCCCTTTAAAGTAACAAGTAACAATAATATGTTTCACCAGTGACACATCTTCAACAAACCAAAATATAATTACACCAACATGACTAATCAGTGTTCCTCACCTCTTCTTCCTCCAACTCCTTCATGACAGTTGCCAGATCTTTGCCCTGTAGTTCCTCCTTTAGCAGCATCAGTTTCTGCTCAGCCTCAGACATCAGCTGCAGCATGTGTTCTTCTGAGTCTAAAGGCAGCCGTGCTGCTGGATCCTTCATCTGCCAAAAACCACGGAAAATACTCCGATATTTATCATCTCTGCTCAGTTACATACATTTCATGAATGCATTACTTAAAGGTAAAAATTTTTCCTTGATATACTACTGTTCAAAAGGTAGGGGGGGCATTATATCCAAATATAATATTTCATAATACATAAATATTGCAACGTAAGCACAACTGTTTTTAACACTGATTATAAGAAAAGTTTTTGAGCACCAAATCAGCATATTAGAATGATTTCTAAATGATCATGTGAAGACTGAAGTAATGTAAACTGAAGTAATAAAAAATAAAAAAGGTATTTTAAATTATACAAATATATCACAATATTATTGTTTTACTGTGTTTTTGATCGAAAAATGCAGCCTTCATGAGCATAAGAGACTTTCAAAATCATTTAAAAAAATCTTACTGACCCCAAAATTTTGAACAGTAGTATACATACCAGTATGATGTACTATGAAACATACTATAACGTTCAGAACTCCTGTACCAGAATTAAAATACATTCATTAAACTGCAACTGTATGTAGTTTTAATACTCACTTTACATGCAAATATGTTCGTCAATCATAACAGAGTCTTTAAATGTACTTTGGCTAACAGCCTGTTTAGTTTTAAAGGTCAACTAAATTACAAAAAAATTTAAACTATTATTGGTGCACGAAACCTTGACTAACATTATAAATGGACCTCAGGGATGAAAATCAAGTTTGAAAAAAGTTATGACCCCTTTAAATTCTAGGAAACTATATAGAAATCTGAAATTCTTCTATTAAAAAACACACACATTCCTATTATTAAACAGGTGATGAAAAGGCATGTTTTCATTAGTACCAGTGGTATGGGCTGTAGTTTGTCACTGAGCTGCTGTACTCCTGCTTTGACTGTGTTTAGTGCTTGTGTGAGTCTATCCAGACCATCTTTAGCTGCAGCACAATGCTGCTGCTCCTGCTGCAGGTCATCCTCACATTCCTGTAGCACCTGTCGGACGCTGAAGAATCAAAAAGAGAATTAGAGAACTAACCGATGACAATAAAGTTATGTTACTGTATCATGCCATTGAGAAAATGTAATGGCTTAGAGCATTCAGTCACAATAATAGCATGTCAAGTGATATTGCAGTATTCATACAGCATACAATGTCAGCTCTCACCTTGAGAATTCAGTTTCTCGTGAGTATTTTACATCCTGAAACTGAGTCTGTGATGTATTCCTCTCTTCCTTCAGTTCAAGCAGCATTTTCTCATTTTCTGCCTTCATCTTCTCCAAATGTCCCTGTGTTTCTCCCTGAGAGATAAACCTGTCCACTATTTCCTATTATAAGAGATATCATGAATAAACATAAAGAAGTAATATATATACATTTAAAACAATGTTAAGGTGGTAAAATTTAACCTTGTAAAGCCTGTCATATGAAATAATAGTCAGAAACTTCATTTTTTAAAAACAGAAATGTATTGAAGCTTTAGAAAAAATGTTAAATAAATAAAATAGTTTGTTGATGTGTTTTTGTTGAGTATCATATTTGATACATCAGGCTTTTACGGCTCATATAGTATGATATAGTGAGAATATGGAGGTCATACTCAAGGAGGAAAAACACAGGCCCAAACTGAGCAAAAATATGCAATTTGGTGCATTCCTGATATGTATATGGCCAAAAATTAAGAAGAAATTCTAACAGCTTGTGTAAATCCATGAGATATTTATAACAGTATAACAGACTACTCACATAAAATGACATAAATATTAGCTGTCACTCTATTTCTCCCAATAACATGTCTTAGTAAGATGCTATTTAAATACTTAGTTTTATGATCAAAGCTCTTTAGTTTCAGAACATAATGTAACGCAACACAATAATGATGAACAAACATTCCTCAAAAGCCTGATGGGTCATATTTGATATTCACATTTTAACATGATTTTTCTGAAAAAATAAAAAATTCTGTATGGAAGTACACTTAAGTTGCTTCAGTCTGGTAAGTGTTCATCTTAAAATATTACTATCAATATAAAAAAGTGTTGATCATGTTGATCATTTCGAGGCCTAAGAAATTAGTATATTAAATATGATACTGTAGGCTTCATAGGGTTAATACTGTCTTTCCTCACCTGTGAGTCTGTGACTCCAGTGGCCTCTTTGGCGTGCTGGAAAGCTTCCTCAAAAGTAGAGATAGGTTCTTCTTCTTCTTCTACTGTGGTGGGACTTCGCGGGGCCTCACTGCTCAGCTCATCAGGGTTCATGGATACCCACTGGGGCTGGATGTGACAGATGGAAGGGGAAATGGTTGGTTAAACTTGACAAAAACGATCTAAGAGACTTGGCCAAAATGAGAAGGCTAAACTAAATGTTGAAAAAATGATATACTTATATTTATTTCAATTATTTCATATTTTAACCAATATTTGTGTGTTGTGAGCAGCATGCTAACACCAAGCTCTATTTAAGTCCAGTTTCCTGTGCACTTCCCATGAGAAATTCTATGAGTATGACACATATTTTTATGCTTGTTAGAGTACTGCATTGTTAGCTGTACTCTAGTTGCTGCAGATGATGCTCACTCTTCTCTTCATCCTCTCTGCCTGAGCCATCCTCTCCTCGGCCTGCTTCTTGTAGCGGAAGAGGATTTTTTCTCTTTCTCTGCGCTCTCTGTACACCTGCTCCTCCTGAAGCTGCAGCTCAGCCTGGACACACACACACATTACTATCAGCATTATTTGGGTGAACTTTACCTTGGCGTACTTGCACATCTGCTTGCTTCATTATCTCATTACATTTTTCAATTATTCATGAAATGCTTTGGCTTTACCTTGGCAGCATCCTTGAAGAGGAGAACGTTGTTGTTCATGACCTGTAGGTCTTTGAGCACTTGTGTCTGCCAATAGACCTCTGTCTCCATCCTGTCCAGCTGTGGTTGAAATGTAAGACTCTCTTCCTGAAGCAACACAACAGAGGATGATTAGAAATGTCCATTTAACATAATATACACTACCTTCAAAGGTTTGGGATTGGTAAGATTTTTTTATGTTTTTGAAAGTCTCTTACGCTTACCAAGGCTGCATTTATTTGATCAAAAATACAGTAAAACAGTAAGTGATATCGTAACGTCCTTTAAATAATTGCTTAATAATTACCTATATGAGGTATCGTGCTCTGTGGGTTTATTGAGCTGTGTCTATAGCTGCTCTGATACCTGTAGGTGCTCCTTCAGCTTGCGGTATCCTCGCGTTATGTGCACCGCTTCATGGTATTTCAGCTGTGATTTCTCCAAACTGTTTTCCAGAATGCGCAGTTTCTATACAACAAGCACACAAAAATAATATCCTGGACACATATTTTTAAGATTCACCAACGTTCATCCAAAATGCCCAAAAAAAAAGACAATTTCTACCTTGTCCTCCTCTCCTTTCTGGGTGTCAGGCAGAGGGCTACTGTTCTGTGGCTTCAGCACCAGGAACTTCAAGTCCTCTAAATGCTGCATCTGTGTCTGAGTGGTGTGTTTCATAGCATTCTGCTTCTTCATTTTATCACACACCTGCTTCTTTAGCACCATCTGAGCTGCCTGCACAACAAAGATTTCTGTTTATAAGTGAGGAAAGTCAAATACAACTTTCTGGACCACAAATTATATGTATACAGTGGGTATAGAAAAGAATCACCCCCCCCCCC